ACAACTAAAAGCTATTATCAGTAATTGCGAAAAGGAAAAACCTTTAGTACTTAGATACTTAATCATCAATGGCTGTTTGCCGGTTTCAAAAGGTTTTTAATTTGAGTATACCCCACACACTCCTCCCTTCCATTTTCTTCTCTGATTCTCAGATCTCATCCATATACCTTTATTCCTGGGTCTAACATGGACTTCAAAGGGCCTGACTGTTGTTTCTTGTAATTGCTCTCCTACTTGCTCTTGCCCTTCTTCACAGGAGACTCCTGGCATCCTCTAGACTGATTTGTTAGGGCGTCAACTTGGTGGAGACTCTTCACTGAGGAAGTTCAATGACTTTGTGAATTTGTACTGAGAAGATTGGAGATCATGCAAGTTTATGAACTCTGTTCCCTTTGTTAAGAGTTGTCTCATTTCCCGCTTGAGCTTTCTGTGTAATGGTTCAAATCATCAATTGTTTAGCCACTGCCTAAGGTCAGGAAGAATGCAAATTTTTTTTGTATTTCTTTGGTCCATTTATTAAAATTCTATCTGTACAGTACTTTGAATTATTGAGCACTGTTCTGAACTACCTTTTTTGCTGATAGTAATTTGTGTGTTATCTGCTGGAGTACCAACAAAGGTTATCCCTCCACACAAACGGATTACAAGAAAAGGGCGAAAAATGTCCTGAATCGTGCTCATTCCTGCCCTTTATCTTCTACTGCTTTATCTCTAGATTGGGCCCTCTCTGATCTGCCCTAATGTCCCACTCTCTCCATTAGTTTAATACCAGCCCTATGAGTCCACAGAAGCAGCAACCTAAACCCATGAACACTCATATCCTCCTTGCTTTTTTTTTTTTTTTTTGAGGAAGATTAGCCCTGAGATAACATCTGCCACCAATCCCCCTCTTTTTTTGCTGAAGAAGACTGGCCCTGAGCTAACGTCCATGCCCATCTTCCATATATCAAGTAGAGATCTGCAAGCAAGACCAGCTAGGGGTTACCACTGTAATGTCTGCTGGTTGGTGCCATTTATTTGACATCTCAGCCCTTGTGGCACTCTGGAGTGCATCCACTTTCTTTCACAGAAATGACACTGCAGGGTAAAAGGTTTATCAGTTCTTCTTCGTGATCAGAAGTTCATTGATCTTGCAGAATTTGCTAAGTTTAGATGCTGTCGTGATATAAGCTCACACCCAACTTGTGTTTACCCATGAACAATGCAAAAAATTGTGAGTAATCTTGAATTTAATCATCAAGGTAATATAGCCTAGTCAAGAGGGCAACTAATGCCAAACTTTTTCAATGTATTTGAGGAAGGAGTTACTTATTCATAATGACTTTCTACCTCTGTCAGGCCCCAAGTTTGTCAGTGATTAATAGCTAGGTGAGTGTTTCAGGTATGATTTAAACCAAAAGTGATTTCATAGAAGTAGCTAGATGACTCACCCCTCCCTTTGAACATTTTAGCCTCATTCAAGGGGCATTTAAGTCCCCTGGATGAGTTAAGCTCAGACATTGGCACTCCTTTCAATTACAGACATGTTACAAAAGAACAAGAGAACAACTCGGCTATGTTTTGTTCATTGTGACTAAGATATTTACAGGAGATAAACAGTTCAGTTCCCTGGCTAAGAATATCAAAACCACTGAACGTTGATGGGCAGAGTCTCAGAATTCTTTCATAACTTCTCTCTCCCTGGGGCATAGCACAGTATGGGGAAGTTTTTAAGTAACCCAAACCAGTGTCATTTTTCCTTGTTACTTTTCAAAATACTTCATTTCCTTAGTCTTTAACAAGATTATAACATCCTATGTTCAGTCTCTGGGTAGTTTCACTAATTTATCTTTCCATTAGTACAAAACAAATTGTTATTCCTGCATTTCTGAAAAAAAATCTCAAGGCCTAGACTACCGTGGAAAATATTTCCAGTAGGGTGAGACCTGTGGGGATTTCTATAAGAAAGATTTGGGTACTTGATGGGTAACTGCAAGATCACAGGGGAATTTTCTCTTAACTGGGGCACTTTCTTCCTGTTCCTTTTTTCACCCACTTTCTTTAACATAGGGCCCAAACTTCAAAAGAGCATTTCATCTGATCTATCTAAAAATAACTGCCATAATTACTTACTCAAATGAACATACTGAGAATTTGCTACAAGTAATCTTTTGCTTCCAAAAGGGATACTTTATAAACTTAGCATTATCTCTGACCACTAAAAGTTTTCTGCCTTGTGTCATTCTGGAAGAGGGAGGAAGATATGCAGAAATAAATTTAAGAAGACACAAACAAATGGAAAATTATTCTGTGCTTATGGATCAGAAGAATAAATATGGTTAATATGTCCATACTACCTCAAGTTATCAACAGATTCGATACAATCTCTACCAAAATTCCTATGGTATTTTTCACAGATATAGAAAAACAATCCTAAAATTTACATGGAAGCACAAATGACCCCAAATAGCCAAAGTAATCCTGAGGAAGAAGGACAAAACTGGAGGCATCACATTGCTTGATATCAAACTATACTACAAAGCTATAGTAATCAAAACAGTATTATATTGACATAAAAATAGACATATAGACCAGTGGAACAGAATCAAGAGCCCAGAAATAAACCCCTGCATATAGGGATAACTAGTATTTGACAAGGGAGTCAAGAGTACTCAATGAGGAAAAAGTAGTTTCTTCAATGAACTGTGTTGAGGAAACTGGATCACCACACATAGAAGAATGAAACTGAGCTCCTACATTATACTATTTACAAAAATGAACTTTAAATGAATTGAAGATTTAAACTTAAGACCGAAAAGCACAAATCTCTGAAACACAGGGAAAACTCCTTGACACTGGTCTTGGCAAGCATTGTTTGGATAAGACACCTAAAGCGCAAGCAACAAAAGCAAAAATCAACAAGTAGAACTATATCAAACTAAAGAGCTTCTGCACAACAAAGGAAATAAACTAAACAAACAGTAATCAGTAAGCAAACAGTAAAACCACCAAAAAGCAAAGAAATGAACATGGCCGAATGTTGATTCTTGTAAGAGACTAACTCAGGTCACTGATAGCTTGATAAATGCATGAATCCACTTGGCCAGCTCTGGCTCAAGTTCTAATAGGTTTGCTGGCCCTTAGACATGAGAGGTGGAGAAGAGTTTTGATTTGACGATACCCAAAACATTTGTCCCTTCTATTTTCTTCTCTGCAACTACACATCTTGTACCTTTAGTCTGAGGTCTGATGTGGAATTTTAAGGACCTGACTTATTTATTGATGAAACTTCTCTTCTACTTGCTAACTCCTCTCCTTAGGAGACTGCTGGGGTCAGATGCACATAGGAGACCAACCTGGTGTGGACTCCTCGCTGAGGATTTTGAGTGATCTTCTGGAATAGTACTTGAGATGATAAGAGATCATGTAGATTTTTCCAGACGTTTTTCCCCACATTAAGAGCTCTCTCATTTCCCACCTGACTCATTTCCCAATCGGCTCGTTTCATAATAACTATGAAGCCTTACAAATTCTAGAAGAACACTGTTCCTCAACACTCTTGAGGGCCTCATAAATCCCTCTGTATCTCTGCGATGGCCCAAATCACCAATTGTTTGGCCACTAAGAGTCAGGAAAATCTTCATTTTTTTCTAAGACTTTGCTCTATCTTTTAAAATTCAAACTGCACAATATGGATTTGGGAGCATTGTTCCAACTTCCCTTCATTTGAGCAAGAAATGTATGTGTTTTCTGCTATAGAAACAACAGAGGGTGTCACTCCACATAAGTTAGTTTCTGGTAAAAGGAGAGGAAAATGTCCTGATTCGCAGACATTTCTGTTGTGTGTCTGCTGCCTCCTGGTCTCTGGATTCGGACCCTCTGATCTCCCTAATGTCCCTCTGTACCCTTTACATTAAGACAGCTGAGTGAATCCACATAGCAGCTCTAAAGTCTATAATAAAGAATTTTGAAAATTCCTCAGTTTTTGTGGCACTAATGCTAGATCCTCCTTGCTTTTCCCTGACTTACTCCTGCACATTGAGACATTTTTCAAATCCAGACTTCAACTGTCTCCCCTCCACAAACCTAGTTTGAATTAACTCTATAAGTTTTCTTCTCCCTTCAGATGACCTCAAATCATCTACTAAACGTAACAGGTCTTTGGATCCCTTCTTCATTTCATGGCCTCATCCTTCAGATCAGATAGTGGATTACCACAATACTATATGCTGATAGGTTCCCTTATTTGACTTCTCAGGGTTGCAATTCTTCAAATTGTATCCATTGTACTATATAGAAAAAAAATTTTTAGAAAAAAATATTTATTAGGTCCTCATCCCTTCTAGAAGCTCAATGTTCTTCCAGAATTTGATGGATTCATTGATGTAATTGATGATATGAACTCATTACATACTTGTGTTTATCTGTGAATAATTCTGAGAGTCAAGAGTAAGCATAAAATTGAATCATAGAATCAATAGACCTTAGTCATTGGGCAAAAGGTTAACTAGTGCAAAATTCATTTCCAAATACTCTAGGCAGAACTTACATGTAAATAGCGATTTTATGCCTGTGGTATGTCAACTATTAATAGCTATGTAAATGTATCACATACTATTGAAAACACAAGCAACTTCACAGACAATGTTTCTTCATCCAGGAGGTGTGGTCAGGACTGGTAGCTATATATGTCTCTTCCAAGACCTCTTCCTGCCGCTGCCACTGTGTGAGCAGAAAAGGAGGAAGAAGAGACTGGGTGTCTTGCCTTTCCACTTTGAAATTTGAGCCTCTTTTAAGGGGTTTTGGTGTCTACTTAAGTCTATTGGAAAAGAAAGTTCTAATGGCTCAACTCCTCTCAGACATTTGTAAATAAGTAAATAAATAAGTGCTAACTTGGCTCTGGCTTTTCATTATGACTCAGAGGTTTACATCAAGAAAACTATTCTGTTTCTATGACTAAGGAAATAGAAACCTAAGACCATTTATGGGAGGAGTCTCAAAATTGTTTCATAACTTCTGTGTCTCTCGGGATATAGCTCAGTATGAGACAGTTAGCAGTACCAATCAAGTTATTAAGTGACTCTAACCAGTGCCACTTTTCTCTGTTATCTTTGAAAAATCTTTGCTTTTTTAGCATTTCAGAAGATTGTAACATCCTGCAGTTCTGTTTCTGAGAGGTTTACTGATTTATCTTCCTACTCAAACAAAACAAGTACTGATTGCCACATTTCTGAAGAAGATCTCCGGATCTGGACTACTGTGGAAGAACTCTCAGTGAGGTGAGTCCTGTTAGGATTTTTGTCGAGGAGATCTGGGTACCTCATTGATCTCCGCAATATCACAGGAGGAAAATTAGTTTTTGAGTCTTTTGAGTAGGGGTGAGAGGAGTAAGGCTGCTATTAACATGTTCAGAAAAGTGAAAAATATGGTAGCTTGATTCTAAATCCTCACTCTTCTACGAAGATAATAGGTATCTTTCATCCCATCACAACAGAGGTCTGAACAAAGCCAAATGCATTGTGACTACTGCAGATTTGAAAATTCATTCTCCAGGTGTTTATAGCATGAATTAATATTTAGAAGAGGTCTTTGGTTTTCTTCCCTCTAGGATGTGAAGAAAACTTAGTAGTTGTGGTAGAGGCCTGGGTAAAAGACAAGACAATGACATGAAAAAAAGTATTATACAATAATAGTAAGTAAAAAACACCTCTAGACATAAAACTATATTATATGATGTTATTCCAGTTTTGTAAAACATGAGAACAAGAACACGCAAGAAATAAAAAATTTCTGTTTAACAAATGTGTTTACTCAAATACGTGGCATCTTGATATATTCATAAGTACTTTAGCTTCATTCTACACCGAGGACGAGAGGCAGTATTTCAGTTTTTTGGGGACTAATTCCCTGCTTTCCTCAAAGCCAGAGGTAGACTTTGACAGTGAGAGTTTGTAGGAAGGAGGCAGTTGGACACCATTAAATCTATATCTACCTTTTTGAATGCTTTTGTCTTTCTGTAGAGCCTGGTACATAAACATTTCATGTTTCTAAGAGGAATGTAAAGTTTGAAATATTGGTTTCAGAGTTATCTAAATGTTAGATGAAGCGTTTTATTGAAGCTTAACTGTGTTGGTCAGTTTTTCTAAATAGTCTTCTGATTTTTTTCTTTGCTTCATTCAGCAATAATGCTAAAGTCTCAAGCTATAATGATTCTGTCAACTTTTCCTTATACTTCTTTCAATTTCTAGTATAAATATTACATATGTCTGTAAACATAGTGAGAGAAATATACTGCATAATACTAACTATAATAATATAATGAAATATGAATTAGTTATAATATGTACTTATTACTCTTAGATAAATGCATAATCAAAACTGTTACAGTTGAATTCTTTCTGGAACTTAAATCTTTTGTTATTGTGTAGTGAAATTCCAGTTCTGATGAAAGTCTTTGTCTTAAGGTCTATTTAAAGCTAGGCTAATAAAGATATACTGCTTTCTTTAAATTAATGTTTGCATGATAAAACTTTTTTGCAACTGTTTTTTAAACCTTTAAAAAATCTTTTGTCAACAACATATAGGTAGATTTTTTTAAATCCAGTTTGAAAACTTTTTCTTTTAATGGCTTCAGCATTATGTACATTAGTTGAAATGTTGTATTTTGACTAGTTTGTAAGTACCATTTGTAATACTTATTCTATGTTTTCTTCTTCTTCTTGTCAATAGTTTTAAATTTATATCTCTAACTTCTCTTTAAGAACAAGTAACTTAATGAACACTCATATCCTCTTTTCTCCCTACATTCACCCCATCACGTTGATCAACTTCTTGTTTCGTTTCTCTTCAGTTATTGTTATCTGTGTGTGTATGTGTGAGGAATATTTTCCCTGAGTTAATACCTGTTGCCAATCCTCCTTTTCTTTTTTGCTTGGGGAAGATTGTCCCTGAACTAACATCTGTGCCAGTCTTCCTCCACTTTGTATATGGGATGCCTCCACAGCATGGCTGGAGAGTGGAGGAGGTCTCCAGCCGGGGTCCAAACCCAGCGCACCCAGCCATCGAAGCAGAGTGCGTGGAACTTTAACCACTCGGCCACGGGGCTAGCCCCATCTCTTCAGTTATTCATTTTTAAAACACTAAAAGACTTACATCAAGGTCTTGTTCACTCTTACTTTTTTTGCCTGCAACATTTTATTTACCTGATTTCTTTATTTTCTTGTTGAATACTATTTCCAAAAGAATGCTTGATAGGTCTTTGTGTTGCAAATCTTCTGATTGTTAATTGTGTTGAGAAACATGAGAGATTCATATCTAAGCCATCACATTTAAATGTCATTTTGGTTAGATATAAAATTCCTGTTTCAAAATTATTTTTTCTTCAAATTAGGTTGGCAACATCTCTCTGAAACCCTTGGGATCACATAGGGTTTGGAATTCAGAATTTGAGTGACTTCAGAAAGACTATTTAAGGCACTCGCTGTGTATAGTTTAGCAGCCCATAGATGGCCCATTTGGGTCTAGGTCCTGACTCTCATGTTAAATGTGCTAATATTTCAGGAATAAGACAATATGAGCATTCACACTAAAGTGGAATTTTTAAAAAATTATACATAGACTCCTGCTGCCTCACATCAAGTATTTTTTTCTAATAAATTTTGTTACCAAATTCGTGCACACACACAACTTTTGGTTTCACAATTTTGGGAGGTTTCAAAAGTGCTGGTGTGGATTTGAGGCAAACATTATACAAAATTACTCCAGGGACTGGCCCAGTGGCGCAGCGGTTAAATGTGCACGTTCTGCTTCTCAGCGGTCTGGGGTTCGCCCATTCAGATCTCCGGTGCGGACATGGAACTGCTTGGCATGCCATGCTGTGATAGGCGTCCCTAATATAAAAAAAAAAGTAGAGGAAGATGGGCATGGTTGTTAGCTCAGGGCCAGTCTTCCTCAGCAAAAAGAAGAGGACTGGCAGTAGTTAGCTCAGGCTAATCTTCCTCAAAAAAAAAAAAATTACTCTATGTATTTTCGCTCTTGAGAATCTGATTTTGAACCTTTGTAAGTGAGTTATTCTTTTTCTCTGAAAGTGTCAATTTTTTCTTGTTTTTGCATATTCTTCAGTTTCTCTACATTATGTCTTCATGTGGGTTTTTCCTTCACTGTCTGATCTAGCATTCTATTGGCCTGATGGATCTAAAGATGTTCATGTTACTTTAATTGCAAGAAGTTTATCTCATTGTTTCTTCAAGTATTTTCTCCTTTTCACTTTAGTTTTCACTCCTTTTGCAACTAATAACACGTGTATGCTGATACTTTTTCCTGTATTTTGACATGTCTTACATTTTGTTTTCTGTTTTCTACTTCTTAGTTTAAAGTTGTCTCCTTGTGGGATGTATTTCAACCTAAACTTACAAATCAATAATTTATATTCTAATTATATACATTGAACTCTATAGCCGAATTATTATGTTCCAAGAGCCAAATCTCCTGAACTCAAAGTTGAAGCTTTTAATACTCATATTCTGCTTCCTGAGTCAATGTGTTGATGAAAGACATTGGAGAAACAATGATAGAAGTGTCATTTTCACAAATAGTGATTCTCATAAGCTATATTATATTCAGAACTTAGGACATTATATATAAAAACATGCTATGTAAGAGTTTCCGTATTATTAGATACATGCTGAGTACAACTGCATATTTACATAATTTGGCAGACTTCTAAATTAAATTTGATTAATTTCATGAAGACTGTGTATTCTCTAGATCTACTTTTCAAGAAGAAAGGTAGGAAGTATACTCTATAAAAGAGGCTAACAGGACAAGATTTGCCTAGTTCTGGAACTTAAATATGAAATACAGAAAGTGAGAGAAGAAAGAAAGAGAGATTATTCAAGGCCTTCCAAGTCAGGCTAAAGATCAAGGAATTTTTCCTAAAGAAAATGGGAAACTATTGAATACTTTCGAGCAGTGTAGAAATGTGGTTTATAGGAAGATAACTGGATCTATGAAAATAACTAATTAGAGAAAGTAAGCCTGGAAGGAGGAAATTCAAGCAACTGTTAAGTAATCCCAGACAATGTGATGTGATCCTACACTAGGCAGCAGGTAGAAGGCCAGCAAAGTGATAGTGATATACGCACATAGGACACAAAGAACATGGTCCAACCCCAGGGAGAGATGATGCTAATTAGAGCTGACTAGGGAAGGGCCAAGTGGACTAGGGGAGGTACCCAGCATGAAACTGTAGTGCTGTGGCAGCAGGATATTCACACAAGGTGAGAGGCTGCAGCCCATTTTGCACATAGGCCCCTTCAGGCATATTGGGTGTGGGAAGAGTCAGGAACCACCAACAGACATTCATGGCCAGATTCTAGCCCTAATCAAGGATAGGAGGAGGAACCAGGGAGTTTGACACTATAGAGTCCATATTCTAAGCACTGCAACAATGACTTATATCCAGGCCTTCTTCCACCACACCTACCCCTGAATCAACTCAACTATCACCATTAATGATGTTTTAGATCTTCCTAACGCAGTTTCTCAAAAAATTTTCTAAATGATATTTCTGGTAATTAAGTTCCTTTTTGTCACACGCACCTATGGATAAAATTTTGACATGAACCACTCATTCACATAAACATTGACAGTCTTTGAAATTGTCTACGTAAATGTGTAACACTGTGTGTTATTTTTCTCTTATAGGTCATCCGTAACTTGAGAGATGGTGAATGAATACCAGAAAATTGTTCTTCTGAAAGGATTAGAGCCCATCAGTGCATATCATTTTAGCATGGTTAAATCTCTATTGGCCCATGGTTTACAACTGACTGCCAAACCTCAAGATGAATATAGTAAAATTGAGATTGCTAAGTTAATGGCAGAAAAGTATCGAGGAGCCACCTGTGTTGACAAACTAATAGACTTGTACAAAGATATACCAGAACTTAAAAGCCTTGTTAAAAATCTGAGAAGTGAAAAGTTAAAAGGTAATGAGGAAGAACTCCTCACTCTCGCTCTGTCTGCACTATCCTCGACCTTGACTAGAACCCTCACTTATTCAGTTGAAACATCCCTTTCCCAGTTTAAGATTCAGTAGCCATGACTGTGTTAGTACTGTAGAGGCCAACAAGTTGACAACTTATGATATCCCCTTTCCTATGAAGGGGATTGATGTGTGTTGGAGGGTGTATTTGGGGTGAGGATAAAGAACAAAAGACAGAAGGAGTTGATGAGAGGCTGAGGTTTCCAGTACGTTAGAAATGCTAGAAAATAACAAAATAATAATTTAAGAATTGTAGCTTATGTGGCCGGCCCGGTGGCACAGCTGTTAAGTTTGCACGTTCCGCTTCTCGGCAGCCTGGCATCCGCCGGTTTGGATCCTGGGTGCGGACATGGAACCGCTTGGCAAAAGCCATGCTGTGGTAGGTGTCCCACGTATAAAGTAGAGGAAGATGGACATGGATGTTAGCTCAGGGCCAGTCTTTCTCAGCAAAAAGAGGAAGATGGTTAGTAGTTAGCTCAGGGCTAAACTTCCTCGAAAACGATAAATAAATAAGAATTGTAGCTTATTTAAAAACATTTATATTTAACCAATTAATGTGCCTGTTCTATTAAGACCATTTGCTGCATAATCATTATCCCTTCTAGTAACAAATATGCAGCTGTACTTAACATAAAAACCTACCTCTCACAGATGTGAAGAACTTACCCTCTTGTAAAATCACCGGGTAAAAACAAAATTTTAAAAATTCAAAGGCCAATATCACCATTTTATCACCTTACAAATCCACATCATCAATTGCTTTCTGTAGTTTCTATAATTTTAATAGATCTTTTATAGAACATGATCAACCAGTCAGCATCATGAAAACCTTTTAAAGGTTTTTTAAAGGGCCATGATAAGGAAACAGAGTTGAGAGAGAGTTTGACTGAGGTACATGGGATCCAGAGGACAAGAAAGAGAGCCTTACTGCATAGGGAGTGAGTACGAAAACTACTGAGGAAGCACGAGACAGTCTTCCTGCCTGTGTTGCTGCTTTTGGTCCCCTTGTGCCAGGCTGGCTAATGCAGAAGAGGTGGACAAAAGCATACTTAGACCTACAAGCGGGAGCCGTGAGTAAATAACATTGAAACTGCTTCAGCTGTCGTAGACCAGCTGCTCTGGGTTTATTGTGTCCTCTTTGTTTGTGCATCAGTCGCAGTGAAAAAGAGGAAAAAAGGAGCAACTCAATTGAAAAAGAGAGATCAAAGAGAAGCAGGTCCTGCTGCACCTGCACCCACCACAAGTAGTAATGTGACATCTGAAAGAGCAGAGAAGACTCCTGTGGCTCAGGTAAGCTTGAGGAAGAAGAACAGGATGGAAGTCCCACAGGAAGAACTCTGCTATGGCACTTGGTTCTTTATTAATATTCCAGCAGTTCAAATTTACCTAATTGAGGAATATGGACCATCTACTTTGTGCCAGGCAAAGAACAAGTCACTATAAAGCTGTAGTAAAAATTTCTGTGACATAAATAGAATGACATCATCCTCAATCTAAAGATGAGTTAACAATCTGATTGTAAATTCATTTTGCCTTAGCTTATACAAACCAAGATTTTCTACTTCCAAGTCCAGTGCTCTTCCCATCCCAACACAGAGGTGATTAGACAAGGAATGTGTTTGTTTAAATTAACCGTCGCTTTTTTAAAACGCTACCATCTATGCCCACTCTTACCTACTGGCCACCTCTTTAGGTCACGGGTTGGAACTCCCTGGAATTTCCAAGGACATCACATTCCATATAAATAGAACATAGTACAAAGTAATGAAAATATGTTCTGCTTCTTTTAATACTGAAAACCATTAACAGAAAAATTAAACTACTTTCAGAAAAGAAGAAACACAACCAAAGAAAACACTGGAACTAAAAAGAAAAAGGTGACCCAGGAGCACATTCAGCCTGTCTATCCTTCAGTAGCCAGCACATCTGCGATCATGGGCAATCCTCCACCTCCTCAGATCTCATCATTCGCTCCATCCTCCACTTTCTTGGCTGAGGTACACACCTCCTGTTTCTCTTTTCCAAGTCTTCTTCAACCCAGTAACAGTGCATTCCACAGTTACTATAGTTATTCTCATGTATAACTCTTGTTACTGATTAACTAGCTTTGGCAAAGGCATCTCCCTTGTTATGGTAAATTGGTCACATTGATGATAAACCACATCCAGGTAAAGTCCCATCACTCACAGGTGATCACCATGTGTAACATCTCAGGTCTGAGTCCTCTAAGTATATATGGTCTGTTGAGGTAAATAGCTTGCCTCCATGTTCTCCAGACCCATGACCCATCTTAGCCTTTCATACTTCCTATTACAAATCAGGCAACTTTCTCTTCATGACAGTATTCTACTGCAACTCAAATAAACCAGGCCACTGTGGAGAAAGGAAATTAGAGGTAAGCAAACCTGTCCTCTGTTTTTCTGTTAGCATCCCAGCTATTGGGAAATGTTGTGGATACACAGAGGAGGACATGGTTCTAATCAGATCTCCTTTACCTAAGCCAATTGAGAATAGGGGATTTTGAGCCACAACATGTCTTTCTCACTACTGTTAATAACAGAGCACTAATTGCGGAAGAGGCAATATGAGTCAGACCTTCAAAATGGCCCTGGGTACACCAGCAATAACTGAAAACCTTTAATGTCTGTGGCTTGTGGTGGGCTCCATTCTCCATTTGCAGTGCTATCCAAGTTGCTTTTACACTCTTTTTATTTTCTTTGGTTATTTAAGTGGGTAGAGGATAAATTTGAATTTATTATTATATTTTAATCTATCCTTTAGGTACTTCATAACAATCCCCTCATCATCCACGATTCTATGTTGCTCTTGCTGAGGATCATGCTTTAATTCAGAAAGATTATTCTGTTTAAATGAGTGTGTTCTAACTTCCATGCCATTATCTGCTACCTTATACTTCTGCTGGTTAAGCTATACTGATTTATTAGCCTTTCCTTTCTGCTAAGCAATTCCTTTCTAGCCAGGTCCCAGCTCCAAATAGCTGTGAAGTTTGTTCTGGCCAAAAGTTGAGATTGAGTTTTCACTCATGAGAAAGTACCTTTATATTCCCTGCTCAAACTTGTAAGTTTATTTTCCTATTTCTGTCCAATACAGAACCAGATAATGCAAGTCCAACACCAGAGAGCTGCCGGAAGAGGTTTTCTTCAAAAGGGCCCAATGATAGTGATGGTACTGAAAGCAACAAAGCCATTCGAATATGAGTCCCCAGAAACGGGGAAAAAGAAAATGTTTCATGCTACTGTGGCTACTACAAGTCAATATTTCCAAGTGAAGGTTTTAAACATCAACCTCAAAGAGAAATTTACGAAAAAGAAAATCATTACTATATCAGATTACTTTGAATGTAAAGGAATCCTGGAGGTAAATGAAGCATCATCTGTATCTGAAGCTGGTATTGATCAAAAGATTGAGGTCCCTACCAGAATTATCAAAGGAGCAAATCAAACTCCCAAGATTGATAATCTTCACAAACAAGCATCGGGAACATTTGTTTATGGGTTGTTTGTGTTACATCAGGTAATCCCTTAAAATTATTTTCTTTTTCTCCACAAACATCTGAAAGAAGTAAACCTCTTCCCTTGCCAAGCTCTGCTTACTGACTGAATATTGGAACCCAGGACTTTCTCTTGACTAGAGATATGTGGTCATGTCTCCAAATTACAGGAAATGGGACTAGGTGACCTATTATCATTCTTCTACCCAAGATATCCCCATACAAGTTCTTTGAAAAAGATTCACTAAGAAATCTTGTCATTGTCATGATTATCTATTCTCAGCTATCAGGAACAAGGACAATGCAAGTTATAGATCTATATGCGCGTGCTAATAATTTTATTTCTGATCTCCACCACAACGGTATAAATCATTATTTTCTTTTTACCTTGAAGAATAGATTGCCCTCCCAAGATTGAATTCTGGTTGTGCCATGTATTCAGAGTAATAACAGATTGGCTTGTATTCTCCTGAATGCAAATACATTCAAAAATTAGGCAAATGACATAAACAGTCATTGCTGTCTCCTCTATCTTATTCATTTAATCAATTATTTGTGAACAATTTATTGAAGACTGGGAAATATTGTACTGCCTGATATTTGGAAGACATGGTAATCTAATGCCCCTATTTACCAAAAAAAAGGCATATAAAGTTTTACTGATATATCAATTTTCAAATTCAGGGTACTGGTTAGCATGATGCGTTGATGAATTCAATAGATTCAATTTTACAGCTTTTACAATTTTGTAAAAATTTCAAAATTTACGAACTGCTATAAACTCACCTAATATTTTATATGATTGACTATTTCATAACCCTATGCACCTGTCTTCTAGGATAATCACTTAATTTACCTCTATTACTTTTGTACACTGTCTTTAAGAGATTGTGCTTATAAATGCAATTATAGAATTGATGAGTCTAGCTTAAATGAGTGAAACACTGTAAAGTATGAGCTATAGGATTTGGGTCAGTGGGGTTAAGATATTGGACAGGAGTAATGGGAGAAGGTTGAAAAAGAGAATTAGTGAGTTTCTAGAACCTTACTTGTTATATAGAGTCTTGATAACCTACTGAATGAATAGTGGTAGGCAACATCCATTCCTTTCTGCATAAGGACAGGAGCCCAGGAAGTCTACTCAGGTTTCTGATTCCTCTGATTCCAGTTGTTTTAAGGAATTAAAGCTGCCCTTGAGTTGTGAGCCATTGAAAACAGGAAGAAAACTCATTGTTCTAGAATTGTCAGCTAGAAAACATCTAGAACAAGAAAGGAAAAAATTAAAAAGCAGAATAATAAAAACAAAGTTCCCTGAGAAAATCTTGCCAAAGCTATATGTATATGTATCTGTAATTACTTTTATATATCTTGTATTTACTGTGTCACAAGAGTCTTTCTCATACATCTGGAAGTTACTATGTTTTCAGAAACTGAATATTAAATTTCTGTTGCAGAAAAAAGTGAATAACAAGAACACGATCTATGAAATAGAGGATAAAACAGGAAAGATGGATGTAGTGGGGAATGGAAAATGGCACAATATCAAGTGTGAGGAAGGAGATAAACTTCGACTCTTCTGCTTTCAATTGAGAACACTTGACAAGAGGCTGAAACTGACATGTGGAAATCACAGTTTCATTCAGGTGGGAACTGGGTAGAGTAACATTAGTTTTCCAAAATGGCAAATAATTTTGTTTAGGTTTTGAGAACACCAGATTCCTGGTTTTTTTACACATAGAGTCCAGCAGGGGGGAGGAGAACACAAACAGTTCTCTTGCATTCATTTGCAAGAGAAGGATTTTTAAAAGATACGAGAAAATTGCATTCATATAGACTTCAAAAGGATATGATACTTGTGCTAAACCATAAAATATTTGAAGAGATTAGAAGGAAAGGGAAATAATTTCACACAGTGGTCAAGAGCAGGGCTTTGAATAGGACACATGTGATTTGAATCCTGGGTTCAGAACTCACTAGTTGTCTGCGATTGGGGAAATAGTTCAATTGATCCTCTAAAATGGTCAGTCTCTTTCTCACAGGGTTGATTTTCTTTCTTTACTTTTCTTTTCTTTGATTTTCTTTCTGTCTCATATACATAGGAACACACACACACAAACACAGAGGTCTACTGTGGGATTCTTGACATACAAATCAAAGTTAAATTAAATGCACATACTTAAATTAGAAAGACTGATATGTTCACGCATACAGACACATACATGCACATCAGTTGTTCCACTTCTCAGATCCCCTAACGGAGGAATCTCTGTCTTCGACCTATAATCCAGAGTAATTGCACTGAGAAAAATATTTATCTTCTGCTCCTTCCTTCATTTTTCTGCCCCAATGAGGACGTCCCTCAATGCTTAGCACTGGGTGAACCAGCACTTTCCTTCCTGTTGTGCTTCCTCCTTACCACCCATGTGGAACTCCTACCCTTTTCAAATGTACCCATGCTGAACATCAGGAAATACACATTTTCAGGCTCCAGATGATGGGGAGACAGAAGACTTAAAAGAGAATAATTCCTGAGAGCAGATGGGAGAGAGAGAATAAACAGCTTTCAAGAGCGGACAAGGAGACGTGATTGACTCATGAGTAGGAGATTCAGTGTAGCTGAAGGGAGAAAAATAAGTAGAACTAACTTCATGTCCACTGCTAGGATCTCATTGTGTCTTGTCTCTCCTTCAAGGTCATCAAGGCTAAGAAAGGCAACAAAGAACCATCTGAAGTGAAGAACCCTCCTCCAAATCAATTGGGTGGCTTTAATTGTGATATTAAAGTTGAGACATTCTTTTAAACAATACATTCAGCAGAAACAGCTCAGCACATTAAGAGATTTTTATATGTGAGTTGTGGGTTAGGTAACTTTCTTTTATAAAATTTGCTTATTATATTTCTCTGTATTTTCTAAGAATATCACATTTTGCATCTAAAATGCTCATAATTAAAAAAATAAAATTTCCTTTTTTAAAGCACATCGCTCTCCAAAAGTGCTGGTCATGGTCTCTTTAATCAAGAAATGAGTTTGAGGGTGGTTGAGTTGTGCACAGGAGGCACACAGGGTGGAGCACACAGGCCTTCACCAACATTGGGATCTACATTCTGATTGTGATTTCCAGAAAACAAGGCCCTAACCATGGCCATGTCTAGGGTTATCCAGGTTGGTCCCACAGCCCATGTTCAAATCAAAAAGCACTGTGCCCCAGGGAAAGGTTGGTCCAGAAAAAAATCACTTTCTGTAATTATATCCCCCAGAAGGGAATATGGATAGCTGGTTTCTCTTCAGGAAGCGCCTTTGGTGATTTACACAAATGCACCAATATACGCAAGAAGCTCCCCCATCCCTAGCTAGTTTGGAATATCTAGTCCCATTTATCTGATTTGTAGATACATCTGACTATTAGTTTTCCAACTATATCTTCTTATTCTCATATTTTAAATGTGTGGATTCCAGACAAAGGTTACCCAAGACGGGACATGCAAAGAGCAAAAAGCATTGAATAGTGAATTAAATCTACTCTAATTGACAGTAAATATCACCTAAAGAAATTAAATATCTAAAATCAATATTTAAAATATAACTGTTGACTTCTGTTTCTGGTGATTACAGAGTAGCCTGCCTTTATAAGCAACAACAAAACTCAATAAAATAACATGAGGTGACAGTTTCCAGGCTTTGGACGATAGGCATCATCAGGATATATCCATGATAGAAGACAACTCAGAAGGTGGGCTTCATAATTGCCCCAGATCTCTACCTAGGAGGATTTCCTGACTGCAGGCTAGTAAGCAGGTGTCAAAGCATAGCATGGCAGTCGCACTGGGCCAAGGGGGTAAGCATCAGTTTTCATGGCACTGAATCTAAAGAGAAGGGAGAATACTGAGGGGGCCCCATTCGTTGGTGAGTCCTGGGTTGCAAATATAGGAGGTGAGATAAAATGAGGCCTGCCACAGAGCAGTTGCTATGGGGTTGAGAACAGAACAGAGGTGCAAGAGAACAAACAGCATTGGCAACGTTGAATGTTGCTGGAATAGAGACACATCTCTAGCACCTGGGCATCAAACTAACAAAGTAGAGAGATTGCACATGAGGAGTAAACATCGTACAATAGACTAATGACAGCTCTAGACCCATCCTAACACAGCCTGGAACTAAGCTTCAACCTGATTCAGGAAAAAGATGTAAGTCTGAGAGGTTTTTTCTAGCTTTATTTAGATATAACTGACATATAACATTGTGTAAGTTTAGGTGTACAATGGGATTTGATACAATTGTATATTGGAAAATGATTATCACAATAAGATTAGTTAGCACTTGTATAAGCTCACCTAATCACATCTTTTTCTATGTGGCGAGAACATTTAAGATCCACTCTCTTAACAACTTACGAGTGTATAATACAGTACTGTTAACTATTGTCACCATGCAGTGCATTAGATCCTCAGAATTTATGCATCTTATACCTGGAAGTTGGTACCCTATGACCAACATCTATTTCCTCCAACCCCCAACCCCTGGCAACCACCGGTCTACTCTTCATTTCTGTGAGTTTGTCCTTTTTAGATTCCACGTATAAATGAGGGTATGCAATATTTGTCTTTCTCTGTCTGACTTATTTTACTTAGCATAATCCCCTCAAAGTCGAACTATGTTGTTGCAAATAGCTCTATTTCCTTCTTCCTCATGCCTGAGTAATATTACTTATATATATATATATATATACATATATACACCACATTGTCTTTATCCATTCATCCATGCATGGACACTTACATTTCTTTAACCTTTGGCTACTGTGAATAATACTGCGATGAACACGAGGGAACAGATATCTCTTTGAGATACTGACTTCATTTCCTTCCAAATATACTCATAACTGGGGCTGTTGGATCAAGTTCTATTTTTAAATTTTTGAGGAATCTCCATACTTTTTTTCCACAGTGGCTACACCCATTTAAATTCCCACACACGGTGCCCTTTTCTCCAAATCCTCCCCAGCACTAGTTCTCTCTTATCTTTTTGGCAATGGCCATTCTGACAGGTGTGAGATGATATCTCACTTGGTTTTGATTACATTTCCTAATGATTAGTGATATTGTGTACAGATGTTTCACCTCCTTGGTTAAATTTATTTGTAAGTATTTTATTCTGTTATGATGGTTTTTTAAGTGGAATTGTTTTCTTTATGTCTTTTTCAGACAGTTTGTTGTTAGTGTGTAGAAATGCAACTGATTTTTGTATATTGATTTTTGTGTCCTGCAACTTTACTGAATGTCTTACTAGTTCTAACAGTTTTTTGGTGAAGTCTTTAGGATTTTCTATATGTAAGACCATATCATCTGCAAATAGAGACAATTTTGCTTCTTCCTTTCTAATTAGTATGTGTTTCATTCTTTTTCTTGCCTAATTGCTCTGGTGGGGAATTCCAATACTATATCAAACAGGATTGGTAAGTGCGGACACCCATGTCTTGTTTCTGATCTTAGAGGAAAAACTTTCAAACTTTCACCATTGAGTATGATGCTAGCTGTGAGTTTGTCATATATGACCTTTATTATGTTGAGCTATGTTTCTTCTACATCCAATTTATTGAGTTTTTATCATGTAAAGATGTTAAATTATGTCAAATGCCTTTTCTGCATCTGTAGACATGATCACATGATTTTTATCTTTCATTCTATTAATGTGATGTATAACATTGATACACCTTGCATCCTAGGGACAAGTCCCATTTGATCATGATTTAAGATTCTGTTAATGTGCTGTTGAATTCATTTTGTTAGTATTTTTTTGAGAATTTTTGCATTTATATTTATGTAACTTTCTTTTCTTTCAATGTCCTTCCTTATCTAGCTTTGATATCAGAGCAATATTGACCTTGTAAAATGAGTTTGGGAGTGTTTCTTCCTTTTTAAAAGTTTTGGAAGAGTTCTAGAAGGAGTGGTGTTAATTTTTCTTTAAATATTTTGTAGAACTCACCAGTGAAACCATCTGGTCCTGGGCTTTTTTCTTGTTGTTGGGAAGAAACAAAAATTGATTGGTTACTGATTCTACCTCCTTACTATTTATTGATCTGTTCCTATTTTCTTTTTTCTTCATGATTCAGTCTTGATAAGTGTATGTTTCTAGGAATTTATCTATGTCTCCTGGGTTATCCAATTTGTTGGCATATAATTTCTCATAGTAGTCTCAAGAGCCTTTGTATTTCTGCAGTATAAGTTGCAATGTCTCCTTTTCCATTTATAATTTTATTTGAGTCTTCTCCCTTTTTTTCTAAGTTAGTATAGCTAAAGTTAGTCAATTGCATCTTTTCAAAGAAATCAACTCAATATTTTTTATCTTTTTTATTATTTTTCTATTCACTATTTCATTTATTTCTGCTCTAATCTTTGTTATTTCCTTCCTTCTGCTAACTTTAGGTTTGATTTGTTCTTCTTTTTCTAGTTCATTGAAGTGTAAACGTAGGTTGTTTATTTGAGATCTTTCTTTTTTCTTCATGTAGTCATTTATTGCTGTAAACTTCCCTCTTAGAACCACTTTTGTCATATCACATCAGTTCTGGAATGTTGTGTTTCCCCTTTCATTTGTGTCAAGATATTTTGTGATTTCTTCTTTGAATCCTTGGTTGCTCAGGAATGTGTTTAATTTCCACATATTTGTGAATTTTTCAGTTTTCCTCTTCTTATTGATTTCTATTTTCATACTACTGTGGGTGGAAAAGATGGTTGGTATGATTTCAATCTCCTTATATTTGCTAAGACTTGCTTTGTGACCCATCATATGATCTAGCTTGGAGAAATTTTCATGTGCACTTGAGAAAAATATGTATTCTTCTGCTGTTAGATGGAACGATCTATATATGTCTATTAGGTTCATTTGGTCTAAAGTATAGTTCAAGTCCAATATTTCCTTATTGATTTTATGTCAAAATGATCTATCCGTTGTTTAAAGTCAGATATTGAAGTGCCCTACTATTATTGTTTGTTGTCTATTTCTCCCTTCAGATCTGTAAATATTTGCTTAATATATTTAAGTGCTCTGATTGTGGGTACGTATATACTTACAATCATTGTTTCCTCTTAAAAAATTGACCCCTCTATCATCACACAAAGACCTTTGTCTCTTATAATTTTTTGACTTGAAGTCTATTTTGTCTGATATAAATATAGCTAACTCTGCTCTCTTTTGGTTTCCATTTACATGGAATAACTTTTTCCATTCCTTCAATTTGAACCAGTGTGTATCCTTAAAGCTGAAATGAGTCTGTTTTAGGAAGAGTATAGTTGGGTCTTACTTTCTTTATCCATTCAGCCACTTTATGCTTTTTCATAGAACTTAATCCACTTATTTTTAAAGTAATTATTGAGAGGTAAGGATTTACTAATGCCATCTTATTGTTTTCTGGCAGTTTTGTAGTTCCTTCATTCCTTTCTTCCTCTCTTGCTGTCTTCCTTTGTGAATTCATGATTTTCCATAGCGGTGTGCTTTCATTCTCTTCCCTTAATATTTTGTGTATCTACTGTAGGTTTTAGTTTTGTGGTTACTATGAGGTTTACATAACACTTTCTTATAGTATAACAGTCTATTTTAAGCTGATAACAAGTTAACTTTGCATACAAAAACTCTATCCTTTTACTCTCCCACCTTTTATGTTTTTGATTTCCCAACTTACCACTTTTTATACTGTGCATCTAGTAATAAATCATTGTAACTATAGTTTTTAACTTTTTTCCTTTAACCTTTATACTAGAGTTAAGTGACTAGCACACCATTATATTACAGTATTAGAGTATTAACACACCACTATATAATAGTATTAGAGTATTTTGAAATCGACTATACGATTACCTTTACCAGTGTGTTTGGTTTTCATGTTATTAATTTAGCATCTATTTATTTCACTTGAAGAACTCTTCAGCATTTCCATAATGCAGGTCTGGTGGAGATGAACTCTCTCAGCTTTTTGTTTGTGAAAGTCTTTATCACTCCTTCATTTCTGAAAGACAACTTTGCCAAGTAAAGTATTCTTGGTTCATGGTTTTTTCCTTTAAGCACTTTAAATATATCATCTCACTCTTCCAGCCTGTAAAGTCACTGCTAAGAAATCCACTGGTAGCTTTCTGGGGTTCCCTTGCATGTGACTCTCTCTGACCTCCCCGAAGTCCCTTTCTACCCTTTACCATAAGACCAGCCCAATGCATCCACATAAGCAGTACTAAAGTATGTCACAAAGAATCAGGAAAACCCACAGGTTTTTGTAGCATTCATGTCAGATTCTCCCTGGTTTTCACTCACTCATTCATTCTTTGGTGGAGGTAAACAATTTCCAAATTGATACTTGAAATTCTCCTCTATGTCACTAGTTTGAATTAACCCAATCAGTTTCTTTGTCCCTTCAGATAACCGCTGATCATCCACATATTTAGGAGTTATTTGGGGATCATATTTCCAATCATGGCCTCATCATTCTTGTAGATCAGATAATAGGCTGCCAAATATCTACTCCTGATGGATTCCATTTATTTGACATCTTGGCAGTACTATTCACCAGGCTGTGTTCATTATTTATAACAGAAAAAAATGCAAGGAAAAGTATTTATCAGGCCCTCAACTCTTCTAGAAGCTCAGTTCTTTTTCAGAATTTGAAGGCATCATTGTTGTAGTCAGATGGGCCCATTTATATTTTCTGTGTACAAGTGAGAAAGGCAAGGATAATAACATAATTCAATCATTGAAATAATGGATCTTAGTCATAGGCAAGAAGATAACCAGTGAAAAATTTATTTATAAATACTCTAGGAAGGAGCTAAGCTTTTACTATGATTCTATGCCTCTATTAGATTCCAGGAATGTCAACGAACAATAACTATGTCAATGTGTCACATGTTATTGAAACTACAGGCAACTTCATAGCAGATCTCCCTCCACCCAGAAAGTACACTCGAGTACTGGCAGGGACAGATGCTTCTTCCACGATATCGTCCTGCCACTGCCATTCTGAGAACAAGGTAGAAGGGAGAAGTGGCTGGGTGACTCACCTTTCCATTTGGGTCTCATTGATGGGGCTTTGGTTTCTATTGACTCACATTTAATTTCACTGGATAAGAAACTTCTAATGTTGGAACTTCTTTCAACTATGTATGTGTTACAAAACACCAAAAGAGGGTATCTCTGCTACTATTCTTCATTTTGAATAAAATATTTACAGGAAGGAAACTATGCAGTTCCCCTAACAGTATGAAAATCTATGAACATTGATGGGTGGAGTCTCAAAATCCCCTCATAACTTCACAGCCTCTCTCCCCCTGGGAAGAAAGCAAGTGGGGGAGAAAACTATCTCATAGCACATAACAGAGCCAGCACTTGTCAACTTTTTGGATGATCCAAACTAGTACTGTTCTTCATTGTAATCTTTCAAAATATTTCATTTTCTTAGCTTTTCACAAGATTGCAACATTTTGCAGTTCAGTCTCCGGAGAATTTTGCTAATTTATCTTTCTACTCTTACAGCATAAATACTGATTCCTGCATTTCTGAAGACTATCTCAAGATCTAGACTACTATGGAAGAAGTTCTAGTGAGGTGAGACTTGTGAGTATTTCTGTTGTGAAAGATCTGGATACCTAGTTAGTAATCATATGTTTACAAGGGCATTCTCTCTTAAATAAGATATTTTCTTCTTGTTTCTCTTTTGCTCCATTTTATTTAATACATATCATTGTGCTTAAACCTCAAAATAACATCTCATTTAATCTTCCATAAAAACAACTCCAATTATTATTCAGTCAAATGCATATATTGAAAATTAACTCCCTTTTAATCTTCTGTTTCTACAAAGGATATTTAGTGAATTTGACATTATTTCTGGCCTCAAGAGTCTTCTGTCTTTTGTTTGCCTGGAGGAGGGAGAGAAATATGTAGCATCTGTAAGAATATAAGTGAATATAGTAATGGGTTCATTGTCTACTGGTCGAGTCTTTCACACTTCTTTCCTTTGCTTACCACTCAAAGTTTCTTCAATACACTGTGCTTCTTTCTACTTCAGGATGTTCAGAAACCAAACCTGGTCAAATTTTTTCATCCTCTCAGTCTCAATTTATGTCTCCTTCTCAGGAAATCCTCCCTTATGTTTCCTCAGGCTAGGAGAAGTCTCCTGGTGTTTAATTGTATAGGATCTTTGTTTTTGCTTGAGGAAGATTATCCCCGAGCTAACATCTGTACTAATTTTCCTCTATTTTGTATGTGGAACACCAACACAGGGTGGCTTGATGAGCAGTGTGTAAGTCCACACCTGGGATCCAATGCCACGATCCCTGGGCCGCTGAAGTGGAGCACGGGAACCTAATCACTACACCACAGTGCCAGCCCCTAGATCTTGTTTTTTCTTTTCTACCACTTACAACAACTGTAATTAACATTTGTCATTTTACCCAGACTACAAGTTTCAAGAGTAGGAGTATCCTGTCTGCCTTTTAAACCACTTTATCCAAGTTACTAGTGCAGGATCGGCCTCACGATATACTCTAAACAAATACAATCGCCCAATAAAATAATAAACACCAAATACCAAGAAAAGAATTTCACAGAGTCCGATGAAGCTTAAATAAGGGTAATCTAATCCAGGCAAGAATGCAATATATAAATAAAAATAGAATGTTCAACCACACACACACACACACACATGAAAGTGGTGGAAAAAGGAAGAGAGTTTAAAGGTTTGGGGAAACCCACATAGGAAAACCACACACTAACACCTGGAAATGAAATAGGGGAAGCCATGTTTTATAATTGCATGTTTTCATTAGGTCTGATTGTACTGTTCTGAAATGTGGATTTGCTAGACTTTTATTATATCTCACAAACATAAGAGCCAGTCTAATAACTCATTGAAATATCTACCAATGACCCCTACTGTTAAAAAGGAGAGTATTTTTTTCTTCATACACAATGAAGGGGAAAAGATTATGGTGGGTCAGAGTGGCAACAAACTACATCATTTACAATTTTTTACCTTTCCTTCTCTCACTTTTTCTTTCTTTCCTGATTATTTTAGGAAAAACATGATTCAATACAGGCAACCAATCACTGAAACAAAATACAACTTTAAATTACCTGAAATTCCAGCATCCAGATTATACCACATGTATATCCTTTCAGATTTTCACTGCTTAGGTATATACATAATTTTTCTGAAAATAGTGTCCAACGTTATTTAATATTCCATAATCGATTTTATTTTTTAATGTATTATAACCATCCTACACATCCATAAATAGAGAAAGAAATAATGACTTAAAAATTAAAATGCTCAAATGCATGGATGTCCTTAAATGTATTAAAAAAAATCCCATGTAGTATAAAATTTCTATATCCTCTATTATAATTATCTCTGTAATGAATATACTTCTATTCTCTATTGTCCTAGTATGTCACTCCAAGTAGTTGTATAATTTTTTTCATTTGGGTCCTGTACCTCTCTTGTCAGGTTGCATTCTATGCTACTATTGTTGCTTTCATATATAATTATATTATCACTGATTAACGTGCTTGGGGAAAGTGCTTTCCTGTGTTATGTTAAATTGGTCACATTGATGAGAAGTCAGATACAAGCAAAGATTGCTGTGTGTACTATTCCAGCTCACACCATTCTAAGTATTTTTGGTCTGAGGCAGTAGCCAATGTGGCTCCATGGTCTTGTTTTTATGAAGCCCATGGCCTAACCTTGCCTCTCACACTTCCTCCTATAGATTAGACAACTTTCTCTCCATAAAGTATCCTGAATCAACTCATATGATCTCAAGCCACTGTGGATAGAAGGGAATGGAGACAAACTAATCCATTCCCAGGTTTTCTGTTAGCATGCTGATTCCTAAAGACCTGACATTGAGAAGTGCAGTGTATTCATGTTGAGGGCCATGTTTCCAACAATAGTGCCCTGAGATTCTTTGCATTAAATGACTTAAGGAGGTCGACCAGCACATGTGTTTCTCACTTCTCATAACACAGCATTATTTCTTGGGAATGGGCACTATGAGTTGGGCTCTCAAAATGACCCAGTGTACATCAGTTACAACTGAAAATTGATATCTGTGGCTTATGGTGGACATCAGTCTCCATTTTTAGTGCTATTCAAGATGAGGTTTGGGTTCTTTTTTACTATTTTTATTTTATTTTGTCATTTAAGTGGTTAAAGATATATTTGAATTTACTATTTTATTACATAAAGAGCAAACAAAATTTCCAGGATCAATATTCTTTACAAATACGCTTCAGGAACAGCTGTGAAAGGGTTCTTCAAGTTGCATAAGGCAAGCCTTCAAATTTTTGTTCAACTTTCTCTTCCAATACATAGGATTAAAAGTATTGACTTGACAAAGTGAGCTTTGCGTGGTGATTGAATATGAAAAATCAGGACTATCTTGACTATTGATGGTTAGGTGAAATTTTCCCATAGGATATGGGATTAGGCACCCTATTAATACACATTCTTTCAAGATATCTCCGTGGAAGGGCTGTAGAAAAAGATTCATTAGGCAAGCTTGACATTTAATCATAGGATTATCTATTTTTTGCCACGAGGATCAATGACAAGAGGAAAACAGTCGATATTCATATATATGAGATACAATCTTTTTAAGCCCCAACTGAACTACATCAATAATCATTTTATTTTCATTTGAGTAATGCATTCTCAATCAAGCTTGGATTCTGGTTGTGACATGTCATCAGAGTAAGAATGGATTGGCTACTATTCCCTGGGGTATAAATACATTCAACAGGTAAGCATATGATTTAAACATTCAGGGCTGTCTTCTCTGTCTAACCATAGTTAGAGGGAGCACTTCAATTACATAAAACTATTTATATGCTGCTATCATCTCAGCTAATTCTTATATCACCGACAGCTTCATAACCCCATTATATATGTCTCCTAGGATAGTCCCTTAATTTTACCCTCATTACTTTGCATGCACTCTCTTAAAGAGATCATTCTTATAAACATAATTATTTAATTGACAAGTAATAGCCTCCCTAATGTCCATCTCTACCCTTAACTTAAGACAAGCTCAATGCATCCACACAGACAGTACTAAAGTCTGTGAAAAAGAACTGTGAAAGTCCACAGGTATGTACAGCACATGTGGCAGATACTCCTTGGTTTTCTCTGACTTATTCCTGCTTTTGTGGAATTATACAGATGGTTTCCCAATTCAGACTTCAACTTCTCCTCCATCACCCTAGTTTATATTTACCCAATGAACTTTCTTTTCCCTTGGGGTGACCTCACAGCATGCACAAATTTAGCTGGTCTTTGAGACCCTTCTTCCAGTCATGGCTTCATTCTTCGTGAAGATCAGATAGTGGGTTATAACAATACCGTCTGCTGATTGGTTCTATTTATCTGACATCTGCAGATTCTCCAGATTGTATCCAGTGTCATTAACGGGGGAAAACAAAACACAATGCAGAAGAAAGTATTTATCAGGCCCTCCACCCTTTTAAAGGCTTAGTGTTTTTCAGAATTTGAAGGCTTCAATATTGTAATTATATAAGCCAGTTACACACTTGTGTTTTCTGTGTACAGTTGAGAATGACAAAGGTAATAATGAAATTCAGTCATTGAAGTAATGGATCCTAGGCACAATTCATTTACGAATACTCTACGAAGGATTCACATACTGAGAATGATTTTTCCAAATATGCGTATGTGTTATATACTACTGAAAGCACAAGCATCTTCACAGCAGAACTTTTTCCATGCAGGAAGTATGCTCAAGTACTGGTAATGATAGACGTCTCTACTAAGATCTCCTCCTACTGCCACTCTGAACAGGAAAGGAGAGAGAAGTGGCTGGCTGACTCATCTCTCCTCTTTTGAAATTAGAGCCTCATTTAAGGGGAGTTGGTGTCTACTGATTCACTTTTAAGCCTGCTGGATAAGAAAGTTCTAATGTTTTAACTCCTTTCAGCTATAAACAATTTTTAACAAAAAATTTTAAGAGAAAAAGTTAGCTCTAATTTTTCATTGTGACTGAGATGTTTACAGAAAGGAACTGTTCAGTTTCTGTGGCCAAGGAAATCAAAAGCTATGAACACTAATGGGAGGAGTCTCAAAACTATTTTATAAATACTTAACTTCTTTCCTGAAGGATAGCAAAGTTTGAGAAGCCAGCACTAACCAAGTTAAGTGACTCTAGCCAATACCTTTTTTTCTTGTTATGTTTCAAAATACTTCATTTTCCTCTTCTCTTCATGAGATTTTCAACATCCTCCATTTCAGAGTCTGAGATCTTTAGTGACTTCTCTTCTTACTGGTGTGAACAAACAGTGATTCTTGCATTTCTGGTGAAGATCTCAAGATCTACAGACCAGAGTAGAAGTTTCACATTAGGTGAGTCCTATGAGGTTTTCTGAACAGACAGATCCCAGTACTTATTTTCTAACCACAAGATCATAAGAGGAGAATTAGTCTTGGTTCTTCCAGGTGGGGATGTGGGAAGTGAGTGAAGGGCAGTAGGGCTATATTCAGAAAAGTGAAAACCAAAGTAGCTTGATTCTAATCCTTCATCTACCTAGGAAGATACTATGCATCTGTTATTCTACTACAACTGAACCCTGAACAAAGAGAAATGCATTTTGACGATTGCAGATTCATACTACAGCTGTTTACAACATGAGTTAATATTTAGAAGTAGGCTTTGGTTTTCTTTTTTTTTTTTTTTAAAGATTGGCACCTAGGCTAACAACTGTTGCCAATCTTCTTTTTTTTTTTTTTTTTTAAGGTTTGGCACCCGGGCTAACAACTGTTGCCAATCTTTTTTTTTTTTTTTCTGCTTTATTTCCCAAAACCCCCGATCCCCCCGTACATAGTTGTATATCTTAGTTGCAGATCCTTCCAGTTGTGGGATGCGGGACGCCCCCTCAACGTGGCCCGAAGAGCGGTGCCATGTCTGCGCCCAGGATCCGAACCCTTGGGGGCCGCAGGGGAGCGCGCAAACTTAACCACTCGGCCACGGAGCCGGTCCTGGCTTTGGTTTTCTTGCCTGAGGGTGAACAGAAAACTTGGTGGCTGTGGTGAGAGGTTGGGTAAAAGACAAGATGGTGGTTTGAAAAAAAGTATCATGAAATAGTATTAAATAAAAACATGCATCTGGATATAAAGTTGTATTATATGGTGTTATCACAGTTTTACAAAATGAGAACAAACACATACACGTAGCATAAAATTTCTACGTTTCACACAGTCACTTATACATGGTGTCTTAATATTTTTATAAGGATGCTTAGTTTTTACTCCATTCCACACCATGTGTTAGAGGTAGTATTTCAGCTACTTGGGGAATCTCTCTGCTTTCCTCAAAGTTAGAGATAAACACCAGTGGTGAGAATTTGTAGGAAAAGAGTAACTGGAGTCAAATCTATACTTATCTTTTGGAATGCTTTACTCTTTCTGTAAAGCCTAGTCCACAAACCTTTCACACGTGCTTGAGAGGAATGTAAAGATTAAATGTAGGTTTTGGACTTTTCTCAATATTAGATAAAGTTTTTCATTTAACCTTGTTAGCTGTGACGGTCAGTTTTTCTAAATATTTTCTAAATTTTTTCTATATTTTGTGTGTTTGGTTAAGTGAGAAATCCTAAAATCTTGAACCATAAGGATGAATTTGTCAAATTTTCCATCCAGTTTTCCCAATTTCTAATATAAATATTGGAAGGATATATATGTATATGTATGGATTACACACATATACATATGTACTATATATACACGCATATATATAAACACACATATGTATATACAGTCACGTGTCACTTAACAACAAGGATATGTTCTGAGAAATGCATCGTTAGGTGATTCATCATGGTGCAAACATCATAGAGTGTACTTACCCAAACCTAGGTGGTGTAGCTTACTACACACCTAGGCTCTACGGTACTAACCTCATGGGATAAGCCTCATATATGCAGTATGTTGTTGACCAAAATGTCATTATGCAGCACATGACTGTATGTATAAAGGGAAATAGAGAAATATACTACATAATACACAATATTATTTTTAGTAACATGAAGGAATATAAACTACTAACAAATAATATATATTTATTACTATTAGGAAATACATAATTAGAACTGTTGTATATTCTTGGATCTTAGCCTTTTATCATTGTGTAAATGGAGGGGAGGAAAAATAATTTTCCCTTTCTCCGAGGTTCTTGGCTGAGCCCTTCCTGTAATAAAAAGACAGATTAACAGGAAAAAAAAAAGTATAATTTTGTAGTATGGGAGACCCACAAAGAGATGAGACACAAAGGCAGTCAGGCAATTGAGGCATAAATACCATCCTGAGCTAAGGGAAGGGACATGGGTCTGGGCTTCAAAGGAAAGGAAGGCAATTCACAGGAAGATGGGAAGAGCAGACGTTTGGTAAACAAGTGATTGGCCTGCCGTGCAGATAAGTCTCTCAGATGAAAACGTCTCTGGTAATAGCTTTCTTTATGGTATAGATCCCATTTCTAAATTCTTTTAGGCAGTTAAGGGGGTGGTAAAGAGCTTTCTCTGAGTTGACTGGGTCTTGATTGCCTTCAGTTCCTCACGCCAATGTGGCATATTCGGAGTGGTACATTCTGTTACCCTTCAATAAAGAAACTCCAGTTCTTTGTCTTATGGTCTATTTAAAGCTAACTAATTAGGATAAAAGTTCATCATTAAATTACAGTTTGCATGATAAAATTTTTACAACTTGTTTTTTCAACATTTAAATGAACTTTTGTCAGCAAGATATAGGTAGATTAAAAAATAATGTCACTTAAGGGTTTCACCCTTTATGATATTCTGTTGAATACTATATTTTAGCTGATTTCCTCCATCTCTTTTTCAGTTTGTAGCACTTATTCTATGCTTCCTTCTTCTTTGTTGTCAATATTTTTAAATGTGCATTTCTATTGTCCCTTTAAGGGCAAGTACTTAGCAAACTCATATCCTCTTTCTCTCTACATTTCACACATAGCGTTAATCTACTTCCTGTTTTGTTTCTCTTTGGTTGGGGCTTGATTTATTTTTAAAACATTGACAGACCGAATTTAGTTGTTCACTCACCCTTTTTCATGAAGTATTTCTTGACTTTATGTATTGTTTTCTTATTGAACACTATGTCTAAAGAGTGTTTTGGTGGGTGTCTGTGTTTTGCAAGTCTCCTGATTGTTAATCATGTCAGTTAACATCAGAGAATTGTTTTTTAGGTCCTACATTAAAATGCAATCTTGGCTAGATATAGCATTCTAGTTTCAAAATGATTTTTCCTTTTAGATCAGTTGGCAACACCTTTCTGAAACTCTTGAAGTCACATAGGATTCAGAATTTAGAATTTAAGTGACTTAAGAAAGCCTGTGTAATGCACTCACCATATATGACATATTACATAGATGGCCCAGTAGGGTCTAGGTAGTGACTTCCAAATCAAATGTACTGATACTTCTGCAGCAAAGCATACAGCATTCACACTATAGTGAGATTTAAAGATTATACATGAACTCCTCAGATCAGTTTTTATTTTGCTAATAAATTTTGTTACTAAATTCACACACTCACATGCAAACACACACAACCCTTTTGGTTTCAAAAGGATTTTTTGTTTCAAAAGTGCAGATAGGGTATTGAGGGCAAATAATATTGAAAATTACTCCATTGTCCTTCTAGATGCAGTTTTGCTGTTGAGAATCTAATTCTTCAGCCTTTGTAGTTCAGGAAGCTTTCAGAATTTTTGCTTTGTTGCTGTTGTAATATAGAGACACACCCTTCACTGTCTCTGTATTAGGTCTTGGTGTGAGTTTTGTTTTGCTCTCCTATTTGGCACTCTGTTGGCTTTATCAATTTGAGGACATTCGTGTTATTTGAATTCCAAGAAGTTTATCCCGTTATTTCTTCAAGTATGTTTTTTTAAGATTTTATTTTTTTCCTTTTTCCCCTCAAAGCCCCCCAGTACATAGTTGTATTTTCTTTGTTGTGGGTCCTTCTAGTTGTGGCATGTGGGATGCTTCTTCAGCGTGGCTTGATGAGCACTGCCATGTCCGCTCCCAGGATTCAAACCAAGGAAACACTGGGCCGCCTGCAGCGGAGCACGCGAGCTTAACCACTCGGCCACAGGGCCAGCCCTTTCTTCAAGTATTTTTTCCTTTCCGTTCTAGTTTTCTCTCCTTTTGCAACAAATAATACGTGGACATTGATTGGAAATTTAACCAGTACTCTGACATCTCTTACATATTCTTTTATATTTTCTATTTCTGAATTCCAACCTATCTCCTTGTGCGAGAGATAGCAATCTGATTTTACCAACCACTTGTAGGGGAGGAGGAAATATTCATCTACCTTTTAGGTTCTTATGGCTGGTCTAAGAATTAAATTGTCATGAGACAGAATAACAAGAGAAAATCAAACAAGTTTAATAACATGTGCACTGGGAGAAACACAGGAAAACTAAGTAACTCATCAAAATGGCCAAAGCCACCTCCTTAAATATCATCTTCAGCTAAAGACAAAAGAGGATGTTAGGGGTAGTGGTTTGGGACTTCAAAGGAGAGAAAGGCAAGTCACATGGAAATGGAAAAGCAAATGTTTGGTAAACAAATGTTTACCATGCCTTTCAGAGACAATGGGACATGAGAGGACTTTGATCAAATGGACCTTATTGGATTCCTCCCTGTCTACCACACTCATTTGATATTATACTATAATTATCTATGGTGATAGCTCCTTCCTGAAACAAGCTTTCTATATTAAATTCTTTTAGGCAGTTAAGGGGAAGGTCAAAGTTTCTTCCTGAGTCTTTTGTTCTTAAAAGTAATTAAGCCACAGAAACACATTTGAGGTGGCAAATTCTGCTCCCCTACACGCTCGTTTACCTCCTAGGTATATCCATTGCAGCCAAAATATTAAGTTCCAGAACCAGGTCTTCTGAACTCCAAAGCCTAAACTCTTAGGACTCATATTCTGCTTCCTCAGTCAGTGTGTTGGGGGAAGATATTGGGAAGAAAAATGTCATATTGATAAAAAGTCGTTTTTCACAAATAGTGATTCATAATTACCTTTAGTGTTCAGGACACTATGTATAAAAGTATTCAGTGCAAGGCTTTCCCTTTGACTCATATCAGGCTGAATATATCTCCATTATTTGTATAATTTGGCAGAATTTTAAATTAAATTTGATAGGTTTAATGTAGACCATGTATTCACTAATTCTACCTTTCAAGAAAAAAGCTAGGAGGTTCTTTTCAGACAAAGGGCCTGAAAAAGCAAGATATGCTATATATTTCTGGAGCTTAAATATGAGAAATGGAAAGTAATGGAAAGAAGTAAAAAAAAGATAAAATACAAATTATTCAAGGTCTCCAAGACAGTCTAGGAGAAAGGAAATTTTCCTAAATAAAATGGGGAACTATTAAAGGAAAAAGATAACTGACTCTTAAAAAAGAACTGATTAGAGACATTAAGACTAAAAGTGGAAAATCAAGCAATTGTTAAAGTAATTCTCACCAATAAATGCCACGATCTTGCACTAGGGAGCAGCAAAAGGACAAGGGTATGGGGACCTCAGACACAGAGAATGTGGTCAAGCACAAAGTTTATTCATTTGGTAAGGCTGCCATAACAAAGTTCCACAGACTGAGTGACTTAAATATCGGAATATCATCTCACCGTTCTGGAGGCTGGAAATCTAATATCAAGGTGTCAGCAGGATTGGTATCTTTTAAAGCCTCTCCCCTTGGCTTGCAGATGACTGCCATCATTCTACCTCTTCACATTGTCCTTCCTCTGTGTGTGTCTGTGTCCTAATCTCCTCTTTTTTATAAAGACACTAGTCATATTGGATTAGAGTCCACCCTAGTGACCTCATTTAACTTAGTTACTTCTTTAAAGATCCTGTCTCTAAATACAGTCAGTCTGAAGTAGCAGGAGTCAGGACTTCTACATGTGGATTTTGAAGGTACACAATTCAGCCAATAACACCAAGGGAGAGAGGATGCTAGTAAGAGCAAATTAGGAAAGAGGCAAATGGACAAGGGTCAATATCCCAGCATGGATCTGTAGGGCTGTGGCTGAAGATTATTCATATAAGGTGAGAAGCTGCAGCTCATTTTGCACATAGTCTACTTTAGTCATAGTGAGTGGGAAGAGTCACGAACCCACAGGCAGACATTCAGGGATAAACTGTAGCCCCAAGAAGGATGGGAGGAGGAAGCAGGGACTCTGATACTGTATGGCCCATACTCTAAATAGTGCAGTAATTGTCTATTTCCAGACCTCCTTCCATGATATCCAACCCTGACAACTCAAATATCATCATTAATAAGGAAGAATTTCTTAGAAGTTCCTGATGCAGTAGTTTTCAACACATTCTACACAGTGACATATCTAGTGATTATAGTCCCTCTTTGGCACACACACCCATGGACAGCTCTTTCATCTGGAGCACTCACTCACATAGACACAACCAGCATTTTAAATTGTCTATATAAGTGTATAACACTACATGTCATTTTTTTTCTTGTAGGCTCATCCATAACTTGAGACATGGTGAATGAATACATGAAAATTGTTCTGCTGAAAGGATTAGAGCACATCAATGATTATTATTTTAATGTAGTCAAGTCCCTACTGGCCCATGATTTGGGATTGACTACAAAAATGCAAGATGAATATAACAGAATTAAGATTGCTCATCTAATAGAAGAAAAGTTCCAAGGTGCTGCCTGTGTGAACAAACTAATAGAATTGTTAAAAGACATACCAGAATTTAAAGGCCTTTTTAAAAAACCTAGAAAGGAGAAGCAAAAAGGTAATACAGAAGATCCCAAGCATGACTGCCCTGCCCTGACCCTCCCCAATCTTGATTAGAACAAAGTGAGAAGTTAAAAGGAAATAGGGAATCCCCTCTCACTGTCGCTATTCCCATACACTTCCCAACCTTGACTAGAACCCTTCTTGGTCATAGTTGGTGCATCTCTTTCCCTATTTATGACTCAGTAGCCATGATAATGGTAGTACTTCACATGTCAACAAATTGACCGCTTAGCACATCTACTTTCTAATGGGGATTTTTCTATGTTGGAAGGCATATTTGGGATGCAGTGGAAAAAACAAAAGCAAGAGGGAGTTGAGGAGATGCTGAGACTCCCAGTACATTAAAAAGATGAGAAAATGACAAAACAAAAATACAAAAATTGTTTTTTATATTTAAAATATTTATATTTAACCAATAAATGAATTTAGTCTATTTAGACTATTTTCTCCATCATTACTCTTCATAGCAAAAAAGATGAGGCAGTACTTAAATGAAATCCTACCCCTCAGAGATGTGAAGAAGTTCTTTCTCTTATAAAGTCACTGGGTTAAGAAAAAACATTTTGTAAATGCAAAAGCAAATAATATTACTTTGTTACGTAACAAATCCAGATCACATTTCCTTTTACTGGTTTCTCCACTTTGGACAGATCTTTTACAGATGGTGACCCACCAGGCAGCATTAAAAAATCTTGAATTTTTAAAAGGAAATGATAGAACAGGTTAGGAAAAGAGTTTGACTGAGGTACATGGGAATCTAGATGACGAAAGGATGTGTTCACTGTGCACGCAACCAGTATGCAAACCACTGAAGAACGTGAGACAGTGTCCCTGCCTATATTGTTGCCATTGGTCCCCTTGCAGACTGGCTGGCCAATGCAGTCAAGGTAGACAAAAGCATACCTAGACCTACAAGCAGGAGCTGAGTGGAAATAATAGTGAAACTGCTTCAGCTGTCTTAGACCGGCTGCTCTGGGTTTACATGTCCTCCTTTTTTCTGCATCAGTTGAAAAGAATATTAAATCCATTCCAGCAAAAGGAACAACTCCAGTGAAAAAGAGAAAGCAGGAAGCAGTGGGTCTTGCTACACTTACACCCACCACAAGTGGTACTCTGACATCTGAAGGAGCAGAGGAGACTCCTGTGGCTCGGGTATGCTTGAGAGAGAGATGCAGGCTTGAAGCCCCACAGAAGGAACTCTGCTAAGGCATTTCCACTCATTCTCCCCATTAGGCACTTGGTTCTTCATTAAGTTTCCCATCAAGGTCAGATATACCAAATAAATAATAATTGATCATTTTCGTGAAAGGCAATGAGCTTTAATAGACCAATGTGAATATATATGACATAATTCTAATATCTTCATATCTTCTTTAGGGATGTGTTAACTGGAGAAACAGATGATAAAATGTTCTTTCCATGTCAAAACTCAATTTTTCTAATTCTAAGTTAGCCACATCCTACCACAGAGGTTATTAGACGAGTGATGTGTGTAAACACCTCTTTTTTTTCCAAAGATTAAGCCCTGGACTAACATCTGTTGCCAATCTTCCTGTTGTTTTTTTTTTTTTCTTCTTCTCCCCAAAGCTCCCCAGTACCTAGTTGTGTATTCTAGTTGTAGGTCCTTCTAGTTCTATATGTGGGACACCACCTCAGCATGGCTTGATGAGTGGTGCTAGGTCCACGCCCAGGATCCAAACTGGCAAAACCCTGGGCTGCCAATGTGGAGCATGCGAACTTCACCACTTAGCCACAGGGTTAGCCTTTCTCTTTTCTCCTACACCTAAAAACACTTTTAGCTATAAGTAAATCAACCACTCAGCAATGAAAATATGCCCTGCTTCATTTGATACAAAAACATTAACAAGAAAATTAAACTATTTTCAGAAAAAGAAAAAGACAGCCAAAGAAAATACTGCAACCAAAAGGATTAAGGTGTTCCAGGAGCATGTTCATCCTTCCTGTCCTGCAGGAGCCAGCACATCTGAAACCACTGGCTGTCCCTTGCTTCCTCAGATCTCATCATCAGCTCCATCCTCCACTTCCATAACTTAGGTACTTTATTCCTGTTTCCCTTTTCCTTCATTTTATTCAACCGAAAAATATAGTAATCAGACCTTGAAATTGAAATTCTGATCTCATCCTCTACTTAAAACTAACTCCCATGATTAATTAGTTGATAAAATATGTAAATTGAGAATTCACTACATTTTAACCTTTTGCTTCCACAAGGGATACTTGATGACCTTGACATTATCTCTGACCACGGTTAGTTACCTCTCTTGTGTTGTTCTGGGAGACAGAGAAAGAGGTGTAGAGTCCAGAACAGTACAGGTGAATGCAGCAGTGTGTTCACTGTCTACTGCTCAAGTCTCTTTCACAATTCTCCCCTTGGCTCACTAATCTGTGAAAGTTTCTTCAATACACCATGCTCCTTTCTTCTTCATGATTTTCACAAGCCATTTTTCCTCTACCTGGACATCTCCCAACTGACCAAACCTATCTACCCTTTGGATCTCAATATTGCTACCCTATCCTCAGAGAGTCCTCCTTTACACCCCTGCAGCCTATGTGAAATCATCATGAAGTTCTCTTTGGTAGGACCTTATTTCTTCCTTTATACATCACTTAACGACAACTGTACTTAATATGTTTGTCTTCCCCACCTTACTCTGCGTTCCAAAATGACAGCTACTTTGTCAGCTGTGTGGAACTCCTGTAACCCAGAGCCTAGTTCTGTACCTGCCACACAGAAGACTCTCAATAAATACATTTACTCAACGGAAAAGTGAACACTGAGTACTAAGATATGAATCAGCTTAGCAAGTGAAAGACAAATGACGGTCATCTAATCCAGTCAAGGAAGTGATACCTATTGTGAATCTTAAAAGGTATAAAAACAAACAGAAGAAGTAGTGGAATAGGGAGGGGAGTTGAGAAGTTTGGGAAAATCTAGACAGAAGGAAGAATATACACCAAGAGTTGCAGATGAAAGGAAGCGGGCTGCACCTTATAATCAGAACTTTCTTATAATAATTACTAAGTTGTACTCTTCTCAAAATTGGACTGGCTAGGCTTTTGCTATGTCCCTCATTCATTGCAGACAGTCTAATAAACGATTGAAACCACAGCGAGTTTTATTCCAAAAATGAGGGGTTTATATTTCCTTGATAGACAATAAAGAAGATTAAACCATGATGGGACACAAGTGGTGAAATCACAACATCAGCGGTAATTTGGTCATACTTTGTTATTTTTTTCTTATACAAAAATTTTTCTTAATACAAGATTATTTCAGAAAACAAAATGGGAAATGCAGACAACCAGCCAGTCAAACTAAAAATAATTAAATTTGAGTTCCCTGAAATTCCAAATTCCAGATTATACCACATTCTTCTCTCTATTCTTTCACATTTTCTCCTATGTAAGTATATACATAACTTTCTGATAATGGTATCATATAATGATTAATATGTTGTAACCCATTTTTTATTTTGAGTATTATGACCCTTCTTTCAAGCCCATAGAGATAAAAATAATTATTTAATGAGTAAAAAATCTAGTATATCAATTGGATTGATATACTAAAGTTTATTTTAAAAAATAGTTCTGTATATTGACTTTCCAATATCCCCTATCACAAATGTATTTGCAATGAACATATTTGTACTTGTCTCTAATTGTCCTATCATATCTCTCTGAGTAGTTGTATAATTTCTTTCATGGGGGCCTGTATTTGTGTGGTTCCTTGTCAGGGTTCATATCACTGTTACTACTGTTATTCTCATGTATGAGTCTTTTGTTACTGATTAACTTCATTGAGGAAAGGACTTTCTGATATCAGGCTGAATTAGTCACTTTGATGAAAAGTAAGATCCAGGTAAAGTTCAATCACCCACAGATGATCACTGTGTAATATCTTGTGTCAGACTACTCCAGGGTCTGCTGGTTTGTGGATGAGGCTAGTATGGCTCCACCAAATGGTTCCTCTGAAGCCCGTGGCCCACTCATGCCTCTAGCTCTTCTTTTCATTGATTAGGCAGCCTCCACTTCATTTACAGTGTTCTGCTGCAATTCAAGGAAACCAGGACACTACAGAGAAAGAATATTAAAGATAAACCACTCTGATCTCTGGTTTTCTATTAGCATGCAAAGCATAACAGCAACACAAGAGCAATGGATGCTGAAAACATTGTCATGAAGTAAATTTAAGAAAACTTTAGAATAAAATAATAATGAATTTCTAGTCTTTCTCTTATCAAATTAAAGGACCAGCGAGTGTAAACATAGAGAAAGTAAAGTTGACTAGCACTGATATGGAAAATAGAGCCTACCACAAAGTACAGGATATCAAGAGTTTTCAATTATCACAGTGCAGACAGAGCCATTTTGAGGGTACAGCTCAAAATGCCTCTATCTAAGATACAATACTGCCACAACAGGTGAGAAAACACAGAGGTGGAGCCGCTAAAAATCCCCTAATCTAAATAGGTTCAGGCTAGAGACACTCTGGTGAATGCCATTTCCACTACCACAGCACTTCTCAATGTCAAGGCTCTAGGAGACAGCATTTTCCCTTGACTTTAATCACAGAGCATGAGACATCTTAAGGGATCTCCTGTATTCCAGACCTACTCTTCCTTACCTCCATCATGGACTAGTAATTTCCCCTTGGTAGTCAGGATCAATCATCCCATCCAACAATGTAACTCCCTTCTTTGCCTTTTTATTCAAAGGCACGGACAGCCCAAAGTGGCCAGGTGGCTGCCTTAACTTCCAGTTCAATGGAATCATTGTTGTGTCTCCTGGTGAAAGCATTCCTCCTTGTGGAATTAAGACCTCTATGCCAGCAGAGCATCAGTTCATGGGGACAGAAAGCAAAAATTTTGCTAGCAGATCACTAACAGTAATAGTAAATGATACTCCCATTTCCACTCCTTGATTCCTGGACCTGTGATCCTGGCTTCTAAAGAACCTGTAAAGTAAGTTCGTTGATCAGAAGCAATGCTGTTTGGAATACATGATGGTGGTTAAGACATTCTGTAAATCCATAGTTGGTAGTCTAGGCAGAAGCACTGCATGCAGAGAATGCGAATTCATATCCAGAATAAGTGGCTCTTATGGTAAGAACATAATGCTGCCCCTTCCATGATAAAAGTGGCCCAATGTAATCAACCTGCCATCAGGTAGCTGATTGATCACCTTGGGGAATGGTGCCAATACTGAAATCACTCAGTGTTGGTCTCTGCTTCTTGCAGTTTGGGCTGTCAGCAGTGGCCCTACCAAGTCACCTTTAGTGGAAGTCCATGTTGCTGAGCCTATGCATAACCTCCCTCCCTGCCACCATCACCACCTTGTTCCTGAGCCCATTGGGCAATGGCAGAGGTGACTGGGGAAAGAGGCTGGCTGATATCTGCAGAACAGGTCATCCTATCCACTTGATTATGCAAATCCTCCTATGCTAGGGTCATCCTTTGGTAATCATTCACATGGGACACAAGCATTTTTTCCCCCATTTAGAGAGATCTATCCACATACCTCTTCCCCAGATGTCTTTGTCACCAATTTTTCAATCATATTCCTTCCAAGTCCCTGGTAATCAACCAAACCGTTGGTCACAGTCCATGAATCTCTATATAATAATGTTTGACTCACTTCTCCTTCCAAGAAAAGTAAGCAACCAGGTGAACTGCTCAAAGTTCTGCCTACAAGGAGGATTTCCCCTCACCACCATCCTTCAGGGATGTCCCAGAGAGGGCTTGTAGTGCTACAGTGATCCACTTCTAGGTGGTTACTGAATATCATGCAGAACCATCTGTAAACCTGGTCTGAGTTTTCCCTTCTTCTGTCAACCGACCATAAGGAACTTCCCATGAGACCACAGGTGCAGGCAGGGTGAGAGAAGGTAGCGTAGCAGGAGAGGAGACCATGGACATTTAGGCCATTTAATCAGGTAACTTACTTGTATATTCAGGGCTTATTGGAACTTGGGTCTAGTTATAAGTCTAGAAGCAAAGAAGGATGGTGGGGTGAGTCCTAAGGAGAATCAGTACTGTCTTGCAAGGCAACTTTTTTCCAGCAAAGCAGGACTAACTTCCTCAGATGGGGAGGAGTGGCTGTTTTTACTGATAAAGAAGACTCATCAGAATTTAGGGGCTTAGTGTCTCCAGCTTCATCAGGATCTTCCCATATGTCCCCATTCCAATTCTCAGAATCTCATTCTTTACCAATCAATAGCCTCACTAGATATCCTGTAAGGTTGGGAATTCAATTTGCATTGCAATTCAGTCACTCACTGGACGAGATTCTACATTTGCTTATCCGCAGTCTCAGCTCTGCAGCTACAGGAGGTAAGGGTCTATTTCAAGACAGACATAGAAGCTTTCAGGTCATTTATGCAGCACTTGAGCTGGGAATTTAAATTCTTGAGCTCATCATTTTCTTTCCCTACTTTTTCAGGTGAAATCAGGAGCAAGAAGCCAGTCTCACTATACTTGTTAGTTTGACAAAAATGTTCAAAGGTATCATATAAACGATCATCCAGAAATTTGTCTCAGAAGTATTTGATCATGAGTATTCAATGATGATATTTTTCATATTTCTGTTGCCACATCATGCCATGGAATATTCACACTCTTTACTATTGGAAATAGAATTATTAACGCCTTTATTTTTTTTTTTTTTTTTTTTTTTTTTTTTTTTTTTTTTTTATTTATTTATTTTTTTTTATTAATGTTATGATAGATTACAACCTTGTGAGATTTCAGTTGTACATTTTTGTTAGTCATGTTGTGGGTACACCACTTCCCCCTCCGTACCCTCCCCCCACCCCCCCTTTTCCCTGGTAACCACCAATCAGATCTCCTTCTCAATATACTAATTTCCACCTATGAGTGGAGTCATATAGAGTTCGTCTTTCTCTGACTGACTTATTTCGCTTAACATAATACCCTCGAGGTCCATCCACATTGTTGTGAATGGGCCAATTTCGTCTTTTTTTATGGCTGAGTAGTATTCCATTGTGTATATATACCACATCTTTCTTTTTCCAATTTTTAGTTTCTGGGCATGTAGGCTGGTTCCACGTCTTGGCTATGTAAATAATGCTGCAATGAACATAGGGGTGCAACGGACTCTTGAGATATCTGATATCAGGTTCTTAGGATAGATACCCAGTAATGGGATGGCTGGGTCATAGGGTATTTCTATTTTTAACTTTTTGAGAAATCTCCATACTGTTTTCCATAGTGGCTGTACCAGTTTGCATTCCCACCAACAGTGTATGAGGGTTCCTCTTTCTCCACAACCTCTCCAACATTTGTCATTCTTGGTTTTGGATGTTTTTGCCAATCTAACGGGGGTAAGGTGATATCTTAGTGTAGTTTTGATTTGCATTTCCCTGATGATTAGCGATGATGAACATCTTTTCATGTGTCTATTGGCCATATTCATATCTTCTTTTGAGAAATGTCTGTTCATGTCCTCTGCCCATTTTTTGATCGGGTTGTTTGTTTTTTTGTTGTTAAGTAGTGTGGGTTCTTTGTATATTATGGAGATTAACCCTTTGTCGGATAAGTGGCTTGTAAATATTTTTTCCCAATTAGTGAGCTGTTTTTTTGTTTCAATCCTGTTTTCCCTTGCCTTGAAGAAGCTCTTTAGTCTGATGAAGTCCCATTTGTTTATTCTTTCTATTGTTTCCCTCAACTGAGGAGTTACAGTGTCCGAAAAGATTCTTTTGAAACTGATGTCAAAGAGTGTACTGCCTATATTCTCTTCCAAAAGACTTATTGTCTCAGGCCTAATCTTTAGGTCTTTGATCCATTTTGAGTTTATTTTGGTGTGTGGTGAAAAAGAATGGTCAATTTTCAATCTTTTGCATGTGGCTGTCCAGTTTTCCCAGCACCATTTGTTGAAGAGACTTTCTTTTCTCCATTGTAGGCCCTCTGCTCCTTTGTCGAAGATTAGCTGTCCATAGATGTGTGGTTTTATCTCTGGGCTTTCAATTCTGTTCCATTGATCTGTGGACCTGTTTTTGTACCAGTACCATGCTGTTTTGATCACTGTAGCTTTGTAGTATGTTTTGAAATCGGGGATTGTGATTCCGCCGGCTTTGTTTTTCTTGCTCAGGATTGCTTTAGCAATTCGCGGTCTTTTGTTGCCCCATATGAATTTTAGGATTGTTTGTTCAATTTCTGTGAAGAATGTTCTTGGGATTCTGATTGGGATAGCATTGAATCTGTATATTGCTTTAGGTAGTATGGACATTTTAACTATGTTTATTCTTCCAATCCATGTGCAAGGGATGTCTTTCCATCTCTTTATGTCATCGCCTATTTCTTTCAAGAGAGTCTTGTAGTTTTCATTGTATAGATCCTTCACTTCCTTGGTTAAGTTTATCCCAAGGTATTTTATTCTTTTCGTTGCGATTGTGAATGGGATAGAGTGCTTGAGTTCTTTTTCTGTTAGTTTATTGTTAGTGTATAGAAATGCTACTGATTTATGCACGTTAATTTTATACCCTGCTACTTTGCTGTAGTTGTTGATTATTTCTAATAGTTTTTCTGTGGATTCTTTGGGGTTTTCTATGTATAAGATCATGTCGTCTGCAAACAACGAGAGTTTTACTTCTTCGTTACCTATTTGGATTCCTTTTATTTCTTTTTCCTGCCGAATTGCTCTGGCCAGCACCTCCAGAACTATGTTGAATAGGAGTGGTGAAAGTGGGCACCCTTGTCTTGTTCCTGTCCTCAGAGGGATGGCTTTCAGCTTTTGTCCATTGAGTATGATGTTGGCTGTGGGTCTATCATATATGGCCTTTATTATGTTGAGGTACTTTCCATCTATACCCATTTTACTGAGGGTTTTTATCATAAATGGGTGTTGGATCTTGTCGAATGCTTTCTCTGCATCTATTGAGATGATCATGTGGTTTTTGGTTTTCATTTTGTTAATGTAGTGTATCACGTTGATTGACTTGCGGATGTTGAACCATCCCTGTGTCCCTGGTATAAATCCCACTTGATCATGGTGTATAATCTTTTTGATGTATTGCTGTAATCGGTTTGCCAAAATTTTGTTGAGGATTTTTGCATCTATGTTCATCAGTGATATCGGCCTGTAGTTCTCCTTCTTTGTGTTGTCCTTGTCAGGTTTGGGGATCAGAGTGATGTTGGCTTCATAGAATGTGTTAGGGAGTTCTCCATCTTTCTCAATTTTCTGGAACAGTTTGAGGAGAATAGGTATTAAGTCTTCTTTGAATGTTTGGTAGAATTCTCCAGAGAAGCCGTCTGGTCCTGGACTCTTGTTTTTGGGGAGGTTTTTGATTACCGTTTCTATTTCCTTACTTGTGATTGGTCTATTCAGATTCTCCATTTCTTCCTGATTCAGTTTGGGGAGATTGTAGGAGTCTAGGAATTTGTCCATTTCTTCCAGGTTGTTCAATTTGTTGGCATATAGTTTTTCATAGTATTCTCTTATGATCTCTTGTATTTCATTGGTATCTGTTGTGATTTCTCCTCTGTCATTCCTGATTTTATTAATTTGCGATTTCTCTCTTCTTTTCTTGGTGAGTCTGGCTAGGGGTTTGTCAATTTTGTTAATTCTTTCGAAGAACCAACTCTTTGTTTCATTGATCCTTTCTATTGTCTTTTTTGTTTCAATATCGTTTATTTCTGCTCTTATTTTTATTATTTCCCTCCTTCTACTGACTCTGGGCCTTGTTTGTTCTTCTTTTTCTAGTTCTGTTAGGTGTCGTTTGAGGTTGCTTACGTGAGCTTTTTCTTGTTTAGTGAGGTGAGCCTGTATTGCGATGAATTTCCCTCTTAGGACTGCTTTTGCTGCATCCCAAATGATTTGGTATGTCGTGTTCTCATTTTCATTTGTCTCCAGATAATATTTGATTTCTTCTTTAATTTCTTCAATGATCCATTGTTTGTTGAGAAGCGTGTTGTTTAGTCTCCACATTTTTGCACCTTTCTCTGCTTTTTTCTTGTAGTTGATTTCTAGTTTAATAGCGTTATGATCAGAAAAGATGCTTGATATTATTTCAACTCTCTTGTATTTATTGATGTTTGCTTTGGTTCCCAAAATATGGTCAATCCTTGAGAATGTTCCATGTGCACTTGAGAAGAATGTGTAACCTGCTGTTTTTGGATGAAGTGTTCTATATATATCTATTAAGTCCATCTGGTCTAATTTTTCATTTAATTCTATTATTTCCTTGTTGATTTTCTGTCTGGATGTTCTGTCCATTGGTGTTAACGGTGTGTTGAGGTCCCCTACTATTATTGTATTGTTGTTGATGTCTTCTTTTAGTTCTATTAAGAGTTGCTTTACAAATTTTGGTGCTCCTGTGTTGGGTGCGTATATATTTATAAGTGTTATGTCTTCTTGGTGGAGAGTCCCTTTTATCATTATATACTGTCCCTCTTTGTCTTTCTTTATCTGTTTTGCTTTGAAATCTACCTTGTCTGATATTAGTATAGCGACACCTGCTTTCTTTTGTTCATTATTAGCTTGGAGTATTGTTCTCCATCCCTTCACTCTGAGTCTGTGTTTGTCTTTAGGGCTGAGGTGTGTTTCCTGGAGGCAGCATATTGTTGGATCTTGTTCTTTGATCCATCCTGCCACTCTGTGTCTTTTGATTGGGGAGTTCAATCCGTTTACATTTAGAGTGATTATTGAGACGTGGGGGCCTACCACTACCATTTTGTGTCTTGTTTTCCGGTTTTCTTCAGTTTCCTTTGTTTCTCGTCCCATGGTTTAATCTGTTCTGATGTAGAGCTGCTACTCTCTGTTGTTGTCCTTCTACTTATCTCCTCTGCTCTTGGTTTTGTAGCCCCTTTCCTTTTTTGGATTTTTCAGGAATGAGGGTTTTCCTGAGGATTTCCTGAAGAGGAGGTTTTGTGGCAATGAACTCCCTTAATTTTTGTTTATCTGGGAAAGTTTTTATTTCTCCATCGTATTTGAAGGATATTTTCGCTGGGTAGAGAATTCTCGGCTGTAGGTTTTTGTCCTTCAGATTTTTGAATATATCATTCCACTCTCTTCTAGCCTGTAAAGTTTCTGCTGAGAAATCTGCTGATAGCCTGATGGGGGTTCCTTTGTAGGTTAGTTTCTTTTGCCTGGCTGTCCTTAATATTTTCTCCTTGTCGTTGACTTTTGCTAGCTTCACTACTATATGCCGTGGAGTTGGTCTTCTTGCATTGATAAAGTTTGGAGATCTATTGGCTTCTGTCACCTGAAGATCCATCTCCCTCACCAGATTTGGGAAGTTCTCAGCCATTATTTCTTTGAATAGGTTTTCTGCCCCTTTCTCCTTCTCTTCTCCCTCTGGTATACCTATAATCCTTACGTTGCATCTCCTAATTGTGTCTGATAATTCTCGGAGAGTTTCTTCATTTCTTTTAAGTCTTGCTTCTCTCTCCTCCTCTGCCTGCAACAATTCTATATTGCCATCTTCCAAATTGCTAATTCTTTCCTCCATATTATCGGCCCTACTGTTCAGAGCATCTAGATTTTTCTTAATCTCCTCTATTGTGTTCTTCATTTCCAGTATTTCTGTTTGGTTCTTCTTTATCGTATCAAACTCTTTTGTGACATAGCTCCTGAACTCGTTGAGTTGTCGGTCAGAATTCTCTCTTAACTCAGTGAGTATTTTAATGA